TTCAAACACACCTTCTTACGGTCGAGAATAGCCGTTAAATTCTCACATTGTAACGGTCAAGGATAGCCGTATAAATCCTTGGGTAAAGGTTCAAGGATAGCCTTTGAAATCCTTGGGGGAGCGGTAGAAGATAGCCGTTAAATCTTCATTGTAAACGGTTCGAGATAGCCGTGGTGAAATCTCGGAGTGAATCCTATTGGCAAGGGTTGTTTGCCAAACTAGTGCGGTGCTTTGACGGAGTTCAAGAGGCCGGAACTTAGTGGATTCGGAAATCCTTGAGGAGGAGCCTCGAGGTACTGGAGTAGGGAGTTTCCGAACCAGTATAAAATCGGTGTGCATTTACTTTACGCTTTTACTTTTGCGTTTTATATATTGCTTCCGCATTTGCCAACACCGTTTTTATCAAACTCCAAAAAGATTTTCAAACGCCTTATTCACCCCCCCTCTAAGGCGTGGGCACAACGACTAAATCGACTAACAAAAACGTCATAGTTCCCCCGGTACAGAAAAAGTTTACATTGCACACGTTTACATATTTTTTTGGTGAAAGTTGCATTTGCAATATGTCAATGTTAATACATGACTGATTTTGTTCGCAATATGTGGAGTTTACTGGATGGTCTTGCACACTTGATTGATTTCGGTCGAGTTAGTGTTCTCAACAACGTTGATTGTGGTGTAGAAGGCGTTTACTCTAGACCTGATAGTAAGACAATTATATTACTTTAATTTTCTAAAATATTATATATTAACTTATAGTTAAGTAACCTTTTCTTAATTGTGATTGGATGTCATACTTTTTTTAAGGCTTCTTACTCCTTTTGTAGGTGAGCGAAAATATTTGTGCAAGCTAGCGAGGGTGAATAAAAGGGATCCAGTGTATAAGATTGGAGTCCTGATATTCCATTTGATTACTGATCGACATCTTGCGCTAGGTCAGGTATTAAGAGCTGGAAAAGGAAATCACGATTGGAATAACCATTTTGATGTAGTTCGGGCCGGAGTTGACCTTAATGAGGTACAAGCAAACAACCTCATCAACTTGGATCTCGACTGCATCTTTGCAGCTGATACAAGTGATGATCCGATTTCTTTGGAGGCTGTTATTCATAGGCTGAATGAGTTACCAGAGTAGCATTTATTGTAAGTCTCAGTTACTTTTCTATTTCATGAGTAGTACAAATGGCATTTGTTGTTTAGAATGTGAAGTGATTTTGTTTTGAAACGCCTGAAACCAAAATGGCTAGCATCTCCCTAATAGTACAAGGCTCAATAAAGTTATCTCTCACGGTTGAGTTTTGTTCAACTTCCTTAGCTTTGTTTCCATTCCATTAGCAGGGCTTGCAAATATCAGGCACCCCCTATCCACAATCTTTTGTGTGTGGCTTTCATTTCATTCATATTTGAGTTCTTAGGTTTTCAATCATTTTGAAGACCCTAGGATTTACTTCTTGCATGCAAATATCTTTTATAGTTTTTTGAAGTTGTTTATAGTGCTTTCTATTGGGGTTATGTATTGCAGGTAGTTGACCCTAAACTTGCATCATACAGAGTTGGGAAAGCCTAGTATGCTGTGATTCAATTTGCGCAAACAGTTTTTCATCGTGAGCGTGGTAAGATGATTTGAAGACTTTTGAGGAAAGTGATACTCTAAATCAAAAGATAGTGGTTAGCTTCAGTTGCACTAACCAGCATGGGTACATGCTACTTTAAATTTGGTACCATCTGCTTGTAGCTCTAATGTTAGAGTTTATTTTAGGTATTCGTCCATGGCTTAATTTCTTTTCAGAATTGCTTATAAATGTATTACGGAGTATACATTTTAAGCCACATTTTCCATTAGCCTTAGCCTGAGAATCATTACTGCATGGGAGCGCAACTTACAAATCATCACGCACTATTTGAATCATTTGTAAAGTTTAATGTTCGATGGGATCCCACTCTATTGTTGTAATCAACAATGGCTGGAAAATTTAGTTTATTTTGTTCAGATTAGAAATATAGATAGGCCTTTGATCCCTTGCTAACTCGATCAACTCTATTCTCACTCTCCTCTCATATCATCTTTCTTTAAACTCCTTGTCTTTCTCATATTCTTCCATCTTTTCACTCCCTTTCACCCA